TCCGATTCAAAGCCCACTGTACCACCACCACCCCACCACCACCTCCACTTCCACTACCATCACCATCATCTCCACCACCACCACCACCACCACCACCACCACCACCACCCCACCACCATCACCACCACCACCACCACCACCCCACCACTACCACCACCCCTCCCACCTGCCTCCTTATCCCTAAGTTGTGCAGTTAAGATCGTGAATCGAATTAGATTTAGAGATGTTCAGTATATCAATGCTTTCAATAAGCCCATGAAATACGGGCCCTCTGGCTCCGGTGTGGTAAGTTATCAGTTACTGTGTCCTAGGTTCTGTCTGACTTTCTCATGAGAGTGACTCCCAGGACTGGGGACAAGCTGATATGCCAGTGAATGTTCAATTGCTGATTTTCATAAAAAAAAAATACAAACTCAACATTCACTGTAGCCAGTTTAGAAAGAAGAGATGAACAGGATGGAAGATGAATAGGATGGAGAAAGTGAAAACTAACTATTTACCCTCCAGCCAGAGATCCCCACTGTTATCAGTTGAATAAACTTTTCTACACTTTCGTGATTTTCAAAGTTTGTTTTGTGGTACCATTTTATACAGAGCTTTAGTTCTCAGATAACACATAACTTTTAGTTAGAATCATTGAGTTTGAAGACACAGGAAATAGTCAAAGCATCTCAGACCAACAATAGGATTTATGTGGGAATCCTGGGGGATGAACGTTAAGCAGACCTTGCATCATCTTGTATACCCAGTGTCAATGCGATAAAACTAGACTTTCTGTGTCTTAGATCAAGCTAATGGGAGAATCTTAATTAAAATTACCCTTGACTGAAAAGCTACAATGACTCCAGCAGCATCAACTGGTGGGAGAATGGTTACCTCAGTCAACCCTTACGTAAACCCAATAATTTAAATCTAAAATAGTTATGAGAAACCAAACATTTCTACTATAGTTTTGAATCATTTCTTTTTTTCTTTTGAGACAGGGTCTCAAACAGCCTATGGTGGCGACCTCATGACCTTGAACTTCTGAGGGCCCTGCCTACGAAAGCCTGTGCCATCATCCGCTCAGTTTACAGTGACCCATTCACATTATCATTTCTTTCATCTTCTGGGGATAAAGTTTGAGGTCTTGTACTTGACAAGCACGTCCACCTCTGAGCTGTTCCCTCTGCCTCTGTGACATCAAGAAAAAGCTTGGGAGCCAGGCAATGGTTACTGGGGACCTCTGGAAGGCCAGGTTTGCTGTCAACTTCAGCAAGGCTGCCAAGATTCTTCCATCCCTGGCAGTTGACATTCAACATCTCAAGCCCTGTAAGAACCCTGCTGACCACTGCTGTACGGCTTCCCATGTGATCTGCTCTAGATTGTACCGTCTGGCAAGTTTCTGGGCCTGACAGGTCAGGTGCTGCTAAGCCGGTGCCTACTCTCTCCCAAAAGGCATTAATCCGCCAGTGGCTGGGACTGAGGGTAGGTTTCTTCTGTGAGTCAGTTCCTTCCTTTATTCTCTCTTCTTTTATAACAGAAAAAATAGTTGTTGTTTATCGTATTTTGTTGTGTTTTGCACCAGTTATTTCTGTATTACTTAGAATTGTAATATATCCCTTTTTTTTATAATTGTTAGTGTACATTCCTTTATGCTTCAGTTTTCTGACCCAATGTTCCAGATGTTCTGAGATACAACTTGAAGTTGGTTTAAGTTTACTGATCTGGTATGGAGATGGAATTAAATAATTTTAATAGAATTTTAGTCACAAAATGTGGTAACTATCAGGCAATTGCAGTGAGAAGATGATGGAATTGAATTACATTGTTATCTAAATGAAGGACGGCCCACTCTCTCACCTCAGCAGCTCTGATGACTGGTTTGCTCTAAACAAATTTGGAGAATCACTCAAACTGATAGAAAAAAGAGGCTGCTCAAGTCTTTGGATATAGACTATTAATAAGAACATAGACTATTAGGGACAATTACTTGTAGGCTTTTAATAATGGTCCAACTTAAGTCATCTTCCTTTTATTAAAACAAGCAAATCATCATTTGTTTTGTTTCTACTGTTCAGGGTTACAATATTGACACCAGGGTTGGATGTGCGCCTTAGTGGGCAGAGTGTTTGCTTTGCAAACAGAAGAGCCTTAGTTCCTACGTTCAGATTTTTTTATTTTTATTTTTGGAGACAGTCTAGTCTCACTATGACTAGAGAGAAAGAGCAAACAGTGAGTGAAGGCAAGTGTAGTTGACTACTGGTGCCCATGGGACACTTGTTCCAGGACACCAAGGATGTCAAAACCTGAGAATGCTCAAGTCCCTTATAGAAAATGATTTAATAGTGCACAGAACTAGGCACATCTTTCCATGTAATTCAAGCCACCTCTAGATTACCTAAAACAGCTAATATAATAAAGGCCATGAGAATATTTGTTGTACTTTTTTATTTAGGGGGAAAATGACATGAAAAAGTCTATATAGGCTTAGTATAGATGTCAATTTTTCTGCAAATGTTTTCAGTCCTTGGTTGGTAGAATCCAAAGATGTGGAGCTGTGAGTCCAGAGCCCTGACTCTCCTCTCTCTTTCTTCACTGAGGGGGGCCCCCTCTGCTCTCTTCCCTGAGGGTCCGCTCTGCTCTCTTCCCTGAGGGTCCGCTCTGCTCTCTTCCCTGAGGGTCCCCTTTCATGCCGCCTCTCGGTTCTCCTGCTGCTGCTTCCTGAGGGCTTTCTCTTTGAAGAGGGGACAGCGGATCTGTTCTCCTCAGCTGCACTCCAGTTGCCGGGTTCCTTTCCCGAAGGAGCTCTACCTACAACGCTGTTTCCTTCCTGAAGTTGCCTCAGCACAGGAATATTTTACCTCTCCTGGCTTTTTCTAAAAATTGATCTATTCTCAGCATGAAGAATTTAGATTTTCTATTAACATAATTCCAGTACTGAGCTTGAGTGCTATTATCGAAGTGCTAAGGGAACAAGCTCCTGGAAGGCAGAGGCGATGCATTATTTATGTAAGTATTTAATAATGCTGGGTTGAGTTAGGAACAAGGCAATGTTTTAAGCCTGGTGACTGACAGGGAATGCATTATTTCCCCTGGTAGTAAGAAGCGAATGTCAGTTCATCCTCTCCACCCCCACCCCCCAAATATTAACTTCATGCAACACATACAATGTATTTCCCAAGACAGGGATCTGGGAATCAAAGCTCTGCTTTCTTGTCAAATCTAATTTTTCAGTATGTCCAGTTAATCCTACCTCACAGCTATCTCATACCCCTACCTTCTTTTTTTCCCTCTCAAGCCCATGCTCTAAGACCAGTGGGATACATGCAAAGCTCTGTAGTGTTGCATTTCATATACGTTGTCTTCTGACACTTGCCTTCTTTTGGGCTTCATTCGTGTTCACGAAAATGGAGTTCTCAGGCTTCCTTCTCTAGGGCGTATAACTGACCAGTGGCTGCAGATGTTGGCTTTCTGGACATGCGCTTATGTTCACACTGATGCCATGATCTCCAACAGGCTTCTTTCAGCCCATGAATATGCTAGAGTTTGTGATGCAGGCCCATCCTAAGGAGGTATAGGCTCCTTTAACAGTTAACTCTAGCTTTCTGCTACCCCCCCCCCCCAACTGCTTAACATTTAATACTAGACTCCAAGAGCCCACACAATCTGATTCTGTTTTTTTAAGGGTTTACTTGTTGGTGTATGTCTATGTGCATGTATGTTACATACGTGCAGGTACCCGTGGAAGGCAGAGGAGACTGTCAAATTCTTTGGAGTTGGAGTTACAGGCAGTTGTGAGCTGCATGATGTGGGTTCTGGGAACCAAGCTCTGGAACTCTGGGAGAGCAGAAAGAACTCAGCTATTCCGCTATCTCTCTAGGCCTGAGATTTGTTTCTTAGAACCTCTATTTCTTCCATCTCTGACCTCACTGACCTCTATTCCTAGAACTCTCCAGGCAGGCATGTTTCCACCTCTGCCCTGGAACTCACTTATTATAGATAGCCAGATACATAGCTGCATCCCAGCCTGATTTGAGCCATCTTATTTAAATGTACTCTTTCATATCCACTTCTGTTACTTGATTTTCTCTCCTCAGCTGGAGATACACAGAGATTCATAATATACCACAAAATATACTTATTTGTTTATTATCAGTATCTCCAACCTAGAATGTAAGCTCCATGGGTGTGTTTAGAATTTAGTAGACACTCAAATATTTGTTGACAAGATGAGGAGTGAGATGATGTGTGAGCCTGGATCAAAGTGGAAAACAGTAACCATGTAGATGGGACCAATCTTTGGGAGACCTGAGACTTGACTCCTAGAGAAAACCCTGTTAGATGCTCCACTGGATGCCTGTGTTTGACCACTTCCTGTAGTTTGGAGAAATTCTTGTTGCCATGCAACAAGTGTGAACCTGGGCCTTTGACCATCATGTCTTCTGGGCCCAACTTACTGTGATTTTCTAAGAGATCCAAGCATTTATATTTTAAAATTGAAAAAGATAATTTCCCTTGACCTCATAGCCATAGAAACAAGATTGTTTCAATAGCGATTTTCTTTCTAATTAAGATGACAACATGGGAGTTAAATCTGTTCTTCCACATGTTGATCTTGCCAGTTTCCTTACCTATGCAGTTTTGATTTTAAAATTCATCAGGGCAGAAGGACAGAAATACTCAAGCTATACAATCATCACTGTAGTTGTTAGCGTCTTCTTAGAGGTAGAATTAGCATTGTGGTTGGACACTGTATTTATCTTTATACCCATACACGGCGCTTTTATAATTTTTCATGCTCACCATAAAATGGTGGTGCTGCAATTTGTCATGACAGAAAGATAGACATCTGTACAGTATAATATCTCATCTGTAATAAGCTGAGCTCTGGCCAGAAGCCATGACTTCCAAATGCTGGCAGCAGATGCTGTATGCTAATTTTACTCTTCTTATCATCTGGGCTGAAGATTAGGTTGTAATCCGGAACACGAAGTTCATCTTTGTGGGCACAGCACAGTGTCAATGTGATGAACACTTGGGCAAGATCGAGCTGGAAAAATGTGATGCTGTATCTGTGACATTTTCTCTTAGAGCATATTAACAGCCTGCCCTGCCTATCAGTGTTTTAAACCTCTGCCTGTAAAGCATGCAGCTAATATTTTGGACATTTCTTTGACTTATTATACCTTTGATGATGGAATCCATAAGTCCTAAATGTAAAAATGTTGAGGAACTGTGTCTGAACTTCACAATTTCTGCTATGTGTTTGGTCTGTTTCGGTTTTGGAAGAAGTGAAGTCTTGGCTGTAGTGAAGCTAGTAGGTGAAGACAAATCTATGGCAAATCCGGTGGCGACACGCAGTATAAAATACCAACAGAGTAACATGGAGAGCGGCGAGGACGGTGCAAGTTTCTTGAGCTAAAGTCACCAGAGTGGAGATTTCACAGGTGGAACCAAGGCGGCAGAAATCCAAGGAAGCACACTGTTGTGCTGGATTATGGGCAGCAGTGCTGTAAAACCAGTCTGGAAAGACGGGTAAGGGCCAACTCATGAGGGCCAGCTGGCCAATAGCAAGGCATTTGTCTGTTGTGGAGTATTATTTTAAGATGTGTTACATGTGTTTATGCTGTGGAATATTTTTTTAATGATGCAAAGATGTGTTTCATTCTTTTATGTTGCATTTCTTTAACTCTGTGAAGCTGTGTTACTTTGCCTGTCTAAAACACCTGATGGGCTAATAAAGAGCTGAATGACCAATAGCAAGGCAGGAGAAAGGATAGACAAGGGCTAGCAGGCAAATAGAATAAATAGAAAGAGGACAAAAGAAAGGAGGATAAAAGAAGGGGCCAGCCACACAGCCACACAGCCACACAGCTACCCAGCCAGAAAAGGAGTAAGAAGGAAAGATAGGATATACCAAAATAGAGAAAGGGAAAATCCCAACAGCAAAAGGTAGATGGGATAATTCAAATTTAAAAAGCTGACAAGAAACAAGCCAAGCTAAGGCCAGGCATTCATAAGAAAGACTAAGCCTCTGTGCGATTTATTTGGGAGCTGGGTGGTGGGCCCCCAAAGAGTTAAAGAGTAAAAACAACCAACAACACTTGTCCTTCACTCTAACTTATTGGCACCCACTAGAGAGTTTCAAGCAGGGATAGAGATAGAGGATCTAAGAATTCTAAGATACTTCTGGCTTCATTGGGAAAAGCGAAGGGGCAACATGGGTGCCTAGGAAACCCTTTTTTCTGCATTACCCAGGTGAAAACAGCAGTGTCTGAAACATGAGGGTCAGCATACCTCACTATCCCTGGGAAAAGATGGGATGTTGAGTTTGGTTGTATTTCTTGCCTCTTGAGTGTGTATTAGTTTTGTGCTAAGCCTGTACACACACGTACACATATTGTATCTGAAGTTCTTATGAACATGGGCCTGCCTCTTTGGTGCTGTCACTCATTATTCTCATCTCTGGTCTGCCTGTCTTTGAAGCTTCAAACTCTCCTGTGTTTCATCTGTACACAAAAAACATTCCCCTCATTTCTCTTTTTAAAAATCTGCTGCCAAAGATCTGTTGTGCAGATTAAATCTCATTCTGAATAAGATAAAGGTGAGGCATGAAATGGAACACTTAAAGTTAAATAACAAGGCCAGGTGGTGGCGGCACACACTTTTGACTGAGTTTCAGGACAGCCAGGACTACGCAGAGAAACTCTGTATCAAAAACAAAAACAAACAAACAAAAGTCAATTAACAAACCATGTAAAAGAAAAACCAATGAAATAAAGATCTGGGAAGCTGGCTTAGTGAGTAAGGTGTCCACTGCACAGGCATAATGACCTGTAAAGAGCAGCATGGGGGCATGCACCTGTAACACCAGAGCTGGGAGGGCAGAGGTGGGAAGATCCTATGGTCTTGCTGACCAGCTGGTCTAGCAAATTTGGTGAGCTCCAGGTTCCGTGAGAGACCCTGCTCAAAAAGAAGGTAGGGAAGCAAGTGAGGAAGACACTGCCGCTACAAAGGGACACTTCTTACGGCTTTGTTCCCTGCCTTATTCAGCTGCCTTTCTTATATAGCCCAGGTCCACCTGCCTCGGGACAGACCATCTACAGTAGGCTGGGTACTCCTACATCGATTAGCAATCAAGAAAATGCCTCACAGTCATGCCTACAGACCAATCTGTTGGAGGAAAATTTTCAACTGAGATTCCCTCTCAACAGGTTATGTCAACTTGACAAGAATCAACCAGGGTTATCTTGAATATAGTGATAGCTTACGTAGCAGCTCATATCTGAATATTTCCTGTACTCCTAAGGGCTCTACTTTATTTAGGAAACAGATGGTGCTTGCTGTATTCACAAATAGTCCACATTCTACTCATGGCTTTCGCTGCATATGTGAAAAAGAGGAGTGAAAGATGGGCATTGTCTGTGTCACGTGACACAGCCCCATCGGCTGCTGGTGCTGGAGATGCGCACTGGATGTAATGGTAGTCAATGCATATATTATTGAGTGCCTATGTCCTGCTTGGCTTCACATGAAACAGAGATCTGAGCCAATTACAATCTCATTCTTACTTATATGAACTGAAAAAAGAGAGAATCAGGCAGTTCACTATATTCAGAGGAGTGCTAGAGACCCAATGGCAGCCATGCATGAGGAACTGAGTTCTTTGAAATGTCGACATAATGAGCCAGGAGGATAAGTTATCAGCCGGAAGAAAGTTCTAGAATAAGCTAACTGGTGTGGCTGACTAAAGATAACTACAGATTCTTTGACAATTCTTTTTTGGATGTTTTGTTTTTGTTTTTGATACAGGGTCTCACTGCATAGCTCTGGCTGTCTTGGAACTCATATGTAGGTAGACCAGACTGGCCCCAAACTCCAGAGAACAGCCTGCCTCTGCCCCCTAAGTGCTGGGATTAAAGGCATGTGCTACCACCACCCAGTGACAATTTTTTTTTAATCCAAGTTTAGGTCTATTCCCTTGATGCTCTTCCCTTTAAGTTGGGCAGATTTTTTGTTTGTTTGTTTATATTATTTTGACTATTTTACCAATAGAATACTATGAGTGCGACCCTTACTATTTCAGGATCTAAAGAGACCATTAGTCTTCAACTCCTGGTTCTTTGAATATTGTTCTAAGAAACAAGGCAATATACTAGGCCATGCAGAAAGCTCCTGATGTCACCCATAGGGAGAACTAAAGCCCTTGACTGTCAGCCTGGGCTCAGTGCCTGGCCAACAGCAACACCAGCTTGGTAGCCATGTCTGAGACATCCTGGAGGTGGATCTTCAGCCACAGCTGACATCACACAGAATCAGACGAAGCTAATAACCTTGCCCAAACTGTGGGTTCATGAGGACAATAAATGAGAGTTGTTGATTTAATTTTGTTCCTATTTCTTAATCTTTTACTGTGGCAAATATACATAAAACACCATTTTAGTTTATACCTCCTCTTCCCCACTGGCCTAGCTCACTATGTAGCCCAGACTAGTCAGGAACTCACATACACAGCACAGACTGGCTTCAAACTGAGCTTGTCCTCTCTTGGGCATCTGGCAAGCCCTGGAGTTATAGGTGTTCACTATCACACCTTGCTCTAAACACCTTTCAACATACAGTTCAGTGGCATTTCAGTACACTCACATCACCATGCAGTCACGGCTACCGTTTATTTCTACAACTCTTTTCGTCACACAAAACTGAAGTTCTGTAGCCATTAAACATCTCCCTTCTCCACAGCAGCCACCATTCTTGTTTTCTATCTATATGACTTTGATTAGTCTATGTACCCCATGTATGTAAGTAATATAGTACTTTTTAAAATAATTAGCTTATTTCATTTAAATAAAGCATCTTCATCCATGCAGTGGTATGTGTCAGAATCTCCTTCCTTTTAAAGGTTGCATTGTAGATACACACACACACACACACACACACACACACACACACACACACATAAACACACATTTTCCATATTACCTACATCATCTTGTATTCTATCCAACAGAATAGACAAGTTCCAGTTCTTCCGCATCCCTACCAATGCTTGTCAGTTTTATAGTAACCACCCAAACAAATGCAAAAGAGTGTGTCATTCTGGTCTTGCTTGTTGTCTTCCTGGATAACGGACCCTGAGGATGCTCTCCTGTACTTACTGGCCATTTCTTTACACCACTCTCAAGCTTGTAGATGCAACTACAAACATTTCTCCCATTTCGTTAGCTGACTCTTTTACTCATTGAGTTAGCTCTTTGATGCACAGAACTTTAAACTTTGTTGCCATCCAAACCACCATTTAAAATGTGCTGTTATTGCCTTGTATTTTAGTGTCATGTTCAAGAATGGTTACAAAATCCTGTCAGAAATTTAAAAAACTTCTTTTGGATGTATTGTTTTATGTTATGTGTATGTATGAATACCTAACTGTATATATGTGAATCACATATATGCAGGGGTCTGTGGAAGCCAGAAGAGGGTATCGCATCCCCTGAAACTAGAGTTGTGAGCTGCTGAGCTGGTTGTAAAAGCTGTCTGATGTGGGTGCTGGGAACTGAACCTGGGTCCTCTTGCAAGAACAATCAGGGCTGACCCATCTCTCCAGCCCCCTGTTGGCATTCTTTAAGCATCTGAATTTTTGTTTGGTTTGTCAAATAGAAATAGATTATGAATAATGTGGGAGGAATAGAATGAACATGAGAAAGCAATCGGTGTGCCACCTAAGAATATGTATGTAAAAGGACAGAAGAAAGGTGAGGCTTATGAATATTGTTGGTTCAGTCCACGGTTTCAATGAATGGATGTCTGGGATGTTTCTGCCTTTAAAAATATCATTATGTAGCTGGGTGGTGGTGGTGCATGCCTTTAATCCCAGTACTCAGGAGGCAGAGGCAGGTGGATCTCTGTGAATTCAAGGCCAGCCTGGACTACAGAGTGAGTTCCAGGACAGCTCCAAAGATGCACAGAGAAACCCTGTCTCGAAAAACCAACAAAACAAAACAAAACAAAACAGAACAGAACAAAATCCATATGTACCTTTAAGATAAACCAGAGTGAGTCTCATCCCTTTGTTGCCAGAAGTGGCCAATTCAGTCTGCCATCTTCCTCAGAGCTTTGCCAAGTGAGGGGGAAACTATAAGGCCATACCAAGGCCCCTTAGGGATCTGGGACCAGGGATGCTTTGAACTGAGTTAGCTCGTGATTTGACAATGGTGTGTTGGTCCACCTACTTGTTTGCTTATGAATCACAGTAACTGTGCGCAGAGCTGTCTCTTCCCTGACTACATGTGTTAGTCAGTGTCCCCTCACTACCATAACATACCAGAGACAGCCAAGGCTTATTTTGGCTCACAGTTCTGGAGGGGTCCAGTCTAGGATCAGACAGCCCTGCTGGGTTTAGGGCATGGTGAAGGGAGGTCATGGCCATGGAGGCTCCGTCACCTCAGGGCTGGATGTGGAGAGGAAGAAAAGGAAAGCACTGGGATTCCATCATCCCTCCACACACTCCAGAGACTGGAACACTTCACCCTAAGGCCCCACTTTTCAATATCTTTAATTTCTGATTGCAGCTGCTGGAAGCAAAGTCTTTACCACGTGATCCTGGAGAAAATTTGAGATTTCAACCATATCAACACATGCATTCCAGATTTGGTCGGTAGAATAAGTAATATCCAGTAAAAAATATTTATTTTGCCAAACTCTTCCCGAGTTTTGATCTAGAAAAACTTTCGTTTCTCCTTCTGATCATTCATTTCCTTTGTCTGCCACACCAAAACTGTTGCTTGCTTTCACTACTCCGGTAAAAAGCAGAATGGAACCCCTGAGGATTTATTTCTCTTTCCGAAAACAAAAACAAAAAAATGAGGCTTGGGGATTTAGCTCAGTGGTAGAGGGCTTGCCTAGCAAGCACAAGGCCCTGGGTTCGATCCTCAGTTCAAAAAAAAACCAACCAAACCAACCAAACCAACCAAACAAACAAACCAAAAAAGATGTAGTTGAGAAAAACACCTAGCAGAATTGAAAATTCATTAATTCTACACAGACAGATGTTTCAGAGACTTTAACAATATATGCTCACAAACTCATTTATTTTTAGGCACTTTGCCACTTAAAAAATACACAAAATTTAACTTTGTCTCTGCTTGTGTTAGTCCTTTTTTCTGCACTTGTCCTTGATTTGGGACTTAATTGAAATGTTTTTAACAGTGAGTCTCCAGCTCCTTCTCTACCCAGCTTCTTACCCATGTGGTTTGCAGTCCCCTGTTTGCCTTTATCCCTACCTTTATAGACTCAGTGAGTACTCAGGAGCCCTGGAGTAATTACGGAATGGTAAAGAACCTAGGCACTTAGACAGAATCAGCTATAGCAGAACATGCTCTGAATATTTAAGTTGAGTAGATGAAGGACTGTGAAAGTGTGAAGGAGTTGGACACTGAAGTGTCTCTGAGCACCCAACAGACTTTTTTTTATGGGAACCTTCAGCCACAGTTCCTAATCCTATGTGTAATATTAGCTTTACATAGGGGATCTTTTGAATATCTACCTCAAACCTCTAAGTCAGAATATCTGGGGCTGGGATGCTGTTAAAGACGTTTTAAATTCTCCATTGGTATCTAGCACATACAACTGAACAGGAGAATGGAAACTGTATATGTACATTTGACACATTTTGTATGAAGCCAAGTCCACTCTGAGTGCTTATTAAACATTAAGGATGCTCTATTGGCCTAAGTCTTTGGTAACAGATGAGGCCTCAATTAAGTAGCTAGCCACTCTATTCTAGAGTGCTTTCAGTTTTCAGGTTCACACAGATAAGATGAACAGTATCCATGACAACCGCAGATGTGATTCATCTACTCCCTAGCTTTCGGTTCCTTTGGGACACTCTGTTCCCTAGGTTGACATTTGGGTAAACTCATATACGCTCTCAGCCATCTGGCGTAGCTGGTGATTTGAACACTTCTTCATTTAGCACCTTTTTAACATTATGTTTGTAAGGCTGCATCTTGTGCATTTCAGTTCACATGTACCTTTAAAAATGTCACAATATTTGCCTGGCCATACTAAAATATACTGATGGATGGACTCTTAAAGTATTTATTGGATATTAATTGGATGACTAATACCTCAAGGTTAATGTTTGCCTCCAAGGGTCTTCTATTTCAAGCATGTTGATACCCTAGTTTATATAATTTTATTTTTAATAATTTAGGGTTTTATGTTTGTATATGGTTCTGTTTCAGAATTTTCAAGAATTTAAGAATATGATCTATTATCTGTATACCTACCTAATATCTCTGTCTTCTATCATCTATCTATCTATCTATCTATCTATCTATCTATCTATCTATCTATCTATCATCTATCTGTCTATCTATCTATCTATCTATCTATCTATCTATCTATCTATCTATCTATCTATAGCTCATGAGTTTATAGAAGTCCATATCTGCATTATGGCTGGTTGAGGTGAGTTCCAGGTGACCCCCTTCCCCAGTTCCAATCTGAGGGCTGTAGCCCAGAGACCAGAGAGATGGAAGGCATTCTGCTTCCTTAGGAAGACTATAAGTTTATTATTAGACTATTGGGCAACTATTACTTCTTCTGCTGATTAGATGAGATCCATTACATTATAAATGGGGATCCACTTATTCAAAGATCACTGACTTAGAAAACACTCTCCACGTTGACCCCAAAACTTAATCACCATAGGTGGTGCATACGTGATGAGGGAGGGTATAGACTGAGGGCTCGCTGTGCTGAGGACATGTGTTACTCGGTTCATGGAGTCTTTGGTCTTACCTAGGGAAGACCGTGGGCACTGCTGCCATTCTCTTCATTGTCCACACAAGGAACGTAAGAACTGTAGATGTTAGGCAGCCTGAGGAGTCACACGGCCAATAGGTTGGTTCTGAGTTTGCACCCAGTTCTTTCTCACTCATAGTCTTTGGACCCAAATTTCAAAGCTTCCCAGTCGTGCTTGGTTTATTACTTTTTTTTTTTTGCAAGTTTTCTTTTTATTGTCCTTTGAGGCTCCCGGAGGGGGAGGGGTGTATATGACACCATGCTGCACCCGAGAAAGCACGATTTCCCACTTTTTGCAATGTTTCATTTCATACTGACTTGAAATGCTCCGGGAACTGCATTCTAACATATTAAACTCAGAGAGAAGATCTGTCTTTTTCCACTGGAAAAATGTCATTAAAACTGAATGTGTCTCTGTGTTTTACTATTTAAAGTGGAAAAGAAGGTTTATAAACTGAAGATTTATAAACTGCCTTGAGACACTCAAGAGGGAGAAAAGTCTCTGAGTGGAAGTATTGTTAAGCTGGCTTAAATAATCGAGTCAATTAACTTGAATCCCTTGGACAATGTAAAATGCTAATATGACTTCTTAGCTTCTTTAATTTAATTGCATGGGTCATATTATGAGAACCAAAGTAACGTTGCTGGCAGAGTCAGGTCTACCATCAGTTAGAATGGGAATCGTGATCTGACCTTTCATGTGAACTGAGGAAAGCGTTCACAAACTGTTCTTCAAAATACCAGTGTTTATCCTGCACAGCCCTGATTCACTTAGCATCAAGTCTAATTAATTATTTAGGCCTGGAAAGTTGGCTGTGCTGCACAGGCATGAGAAACTGAGTCCAGGGCCTCAGCACTCTCATACACATAGTACCTGTAGCCCCAGCACTGGGAGTCAGGGAGATAGACGGGTCTCTCGAACTTTCCGGCTTTGGCTGAAGTGCCAAGCTCCAGGTTCCTTGAAAGACTGTCTCCAAAAATAAGGTGGAGGGTACTAATGTCAACCTGGTCTTCATGCATGTGTGCACATGTACACCTGTTCACATGTATGCCCATACATCCAAACACACACCCATACAATACCCCCTAAGTCAGTTCACTAGTGATCATTTATTCAAATCTTTTACTGAGCATTTTTCTTTAGCTAAAATTTTTTCATACAATGTATTTTAATCACATTATTGCCTCCCCCAATTCCTCCCAGATATCCCTCATCTCTATACTTACCCAACTTTATGTTTTTCTTTCTCTCTTAAAAAAAACACAACTCCTCCCCTATAAGACAAAAAAAAAAAGCAAAATTAAAAAGAAGTCCACAAAATACCATTGAGTTCATTTCTTGTTAGCCAACTCCTCCTGGGCATGGGGACTGCCCTGGAGTGTGGTTGATATACCCAGTGACAGACACTCCATTGGAGAAAGCTGATTTTCCAGGTGCTGGAAGCCATCATTTGCAGCCAGCTTCTTGGTTAGGGGTGGGTCCCCATGTTGACTTCTCCTTCTCGGTGCTGGGACCCTGTCTCGCCTGAACCTGTGCAGTTCCTGTGCTTGCTGCCATAGTTGGTGTGAGGTCATGTGTGCACCAGTCCTGTTGTGTCTGGAGGACACTGTTTCCATGCCTCTTAAACTCTTTCCTATCCCTTTCCCTCAGAGATCCCTGAGCCCTGAGGGGAGGGTTTGATGAAGACATCCCATTTATGACTAGGTGCTCCAATGTCTGTTACTGTCCAGCTGTGGGTCTCTGCATTCATTCCCATCTACTGCGAGAAGAAGCTTCTCTGAACTGAGTGGAGCCTTTGTCATGGTGATGGAGAAGTCAGCAACATGGAGTCTGATCTTTTGGAGGACAGATAAGAGCAGAAGCCAAAAGGTAAAAGGGAGGTTTGCATGGGAAGTCACAGCACCTAGTGTGTTCAGTACAGTGACAGGAATGCCACATCAAGAGATAAGCACTCCATCCCTGGGTCAGATACAGCCAAGGAAGAGGTTGGAATCCCAAGATGCAAGTTTCTTCCTTTCTTTTTTTTTTTCTGTTCTTTGCACAAAATGAGATTTCAGTGACACATAGTACTTTATTGTTTTTAGTATTAACACATATTAATTGTACAGATTTGTAAGTTTCACAGCAACATTTCTATGTATCCTGGCTTGGTCATTGCCACCTTCCCTTCTGACCTCTTTTGCGTGCCTCCACTTCCTACCTGGTGCTTTTCCTTCCCTGAAAGTCTTTCCTTCTCATTGTCCTCCTCCTTCATCTTCTCTCTCTCTTTCCTCCTCCTCCTTTTCCTTTTCCTCTCCTCCTCCTCCTCCTCCTCCTCCTCCTCCTCCTCCATCTTCTTCTTTTGCTGCTTCTGCTTCTGCTTTTTTCTCCTTCTCCTCTTCCTTCTCCTCACCAGTTCCTCAGCTGATCCTGTTTCCTCAGACTGGAAGCCTCTGAGTCCTCATCCAGAATGAATCCCATCTGAACTTCCAAGATGCAAGTTTCTAATTTGCCGTATTTTAGAAAAGAAAACACTCAATTAGTCTCTATTTCCCAATAAGACATTGTTCCTTTCCTTCTCCAAAGCCAAGCTCTTGGCGTTGCCCAATTATAAGGAACGATCTGAAAATGCAAGATATCAGGTTAGCTTAATTAAACTTAGTTGCCACTTTGGAAGATAGAAAAATAAAATGCATTAGAAAGGATGTATGAGATACTATCTGTGTGCTATTCGTGATTAACCTCTTGTTCAATTTTCACAGCAGCACTAAGGCTAACCACACCTTACAGACTGGGGAACTTGAGGAGTGTGGCATCTGGTACTGGAGAGCCCCAGGACTCTATCTCAGGCCTCATAGCCTTCAGATCTAGTCATTCTGTTCTCTGTGCATTTCTGCCTCTAAGACATACATAGATTAGCATGGATATGTTGGACATAGTTCTTTCTTCAAATATTTGCACTATAGTCGCATTCTATTTTTTAGTACTCACTCTAACTGTGGTAATATCTAGGTTCTGAAATTGTGAAAAAAAACATTAAATATGTTCCTTTTCTCTCCATTAAGAAAAAAAAACTATTCAATTTCTCTGCTTGAAAGTCTACACAAAATGACTGTTCTGTGCCCACTGGTCCAATAATGCCACGACTGTTATGGGAATAGTCTGCTACTCTCTAATTGGATAAAGGCTCATTCCACAGGTGGGGATTCACACCAGGTCCTATAAACCTGGCCAGAAGTTGCTGCTGTTGTTTTACTAGATGGAATTTCTGTGCACGTTAAATTTCTTCCTACATGTTTACGTTTATTATTGTAGATTAGGGCTGCTGTCAGCTTCGGTCAGAGAAGCTTCCTTTTGCAGTGGGCAGTGGTTACTACAGAGACTCATAACTGAGAATAAATGACTGTCGAATGCTCAGTCTTAAATGGGACAGTCGCATCACCCCTCCAAGGCCGAGAGAGCATCATGGAAGAGGAGGTACGAAGAATGTATGAGACAGAGGAAAGGGTGAAATGTGGTGGGATGCTGTCTTCTAGGCATGCATGGTCACCACACCATTGAACACTCAGTAGCTGAGGTTACCTGCACAAAACCAGGCTCATTCACATCCTCTCAGGGAAGAAAGAGAAGCCCAAGAGACCCTGACCCTCTGTGAGTTTTATTAATTAATGATTGTTGGAGGAGGGAGAGAAAAGTGGTGCAGACACAGGTGGGTTGTCCATGATTCTGTCATTGCTCCTGTAAGAAGCCCTCCAACACACACACACACACACATGCACACACACACACACATGCACACACACACACACACACATGCACACACACACACACATGCACACACACATGCACATGCATGCATAACACAATCACCATATCTATGATTGTTTTGCATTTTTCCTGGGTTACACAGAGTTCTTAGACATCAATACCTCATTAAATTAGCGTCAGATATGGAAACAGTAGAATATAAAATCTAAAGCTTAAGTTCCACCTAACTGGGGAAATCGTTTAATATAGCTGGAATATAACCCACGAGTGCATAGCAACATAAAAATGTGACTGGAAGGTGGGTTGGACTATTTATAATAGGACCCCCCACAAGCCTTGTTAGGGGAGTGATACCGTATCTCACACTCAGACACTGACCTGCCCCAGACACAGTGTCTAGCACGTAGCAGATGCTTATTAAACCTTGAAGAACCACAAACTCTGGCAAGGCAATATAATGTTAATAGTCAGTGCTGAGATTCACAGCAAAATTAATGTCTCAATAGTCTCATTTTTTAGTAGTGAAACTAGTTTGGGGAAGATAATATAGAGGAATATTGGACAATGATTAACTTTACGTTTAGCTATTCATAAAGGAAAAAATAAAGTTTCTGAGGAATTACTGCAGTTATGTAGAGGGAGTGCTTCCATAAATGCTGAGTGGGTGAATGAATGAATGAATGAATGAATGCAAGAATGAATAAAAGAAAGCATGTTGTGTGTGTGTGTGTGTGTGTGTGTGTGTGTCTGTGTGTGCACACACAGGTATATGTGCACACTCATACTTGTTATACTAGCTAATAATAAAAAGGTTAAAAAAAAAAAAAGAACCAAATGAAACTTTAATGTATTCACATCAAACTCCCAAGTTCTGCTTTCAGAGGGATGCAGAATCCAGCACCGCTGACTCTATCTTTATTCTCTGAGTTAAGCCTTTGCCTCCTTACTCAAATCTTGTTCCCTAGTGCAATGTTGTCATAATTCGGGGAAGAAGATCGGAACGGCGATATTAAAGAACAATTAGCATTTAACTGGATGTGAACGCAAGCATGAAACAAAGTCCCCGGGGTGGAAGCCAGCAGGGACACCTTGCTGAAGAGGAGGGAAGCAGTGGGGCAGAACGTGTGTTCAGATTTCAGGCTGCAGGTCTACAAAGCACCACGGAGGCATGCGATAATGGAGGGACTTGTTCAGGGACGTGGGAGAGCTCCTGCGTTGCTTGGCTTGGGGCCGTTTAAAAGCCTTCTCGGGTCTAAAGCTTGAGTAGGTTTATGAGATAATTTCAGCTTCTACGTGTTTCTTCTTGTCCCTCCATATTTGTGTGGTCGTACTCTCTGTGCCCTCCTTCCTCTGTGGGTCTCTCAAGCCAGCTGGCTTTGGAGGTTTACCCTAAGGAGACTGACATGAGGAGTACTTTTTGTAGATTCATTATGAGAATGGTTTTAAAACAACAAAAAGAAGGTAACACTTAAATTCCAATAAGTTACAAGTTTGATTTAGTTACCAATGTATGTGTGTGTGTGTGTGTGTGTGTGTGTGTGTGTGTGTGTGTGTGTGTGTGTGTGTATGTGTGTGTGTGAGACCTCACATTGTCCATTGTCAGGTTAATCGTTTGTGCCTGATTGGTAGCACTTTGTATAGAGTAAAGACTTGTGATTGATGTGTTCTATTAAAACCGTTCAGACTTCCACCACTAACTTTGCACTCTCCCAATCAGCTCCCAGTCACTTCCAGGTCTCTGGGTTTGCAGCACCTTGATAGTGAACTTCCACATACATTTTCCTGCTTGTCCTTTCACTGTTCTTGACCCTCTTTTAAAAACTCGAAGGCTTTAAGCTGTAGAACTTAATACCTCCGCTTGTGTTATCACTGCCTGAGTTATCCTCACTCATTAACTGCTTATCTAAAACACTGTTTGGGCCATTGGGCTTCATCCAAAGGGCTGTTGTAAGTTTCCTGTGAATTAATGCATGCAGGCATGTGTGGCACAGAATTGATGCTTCGCCAATGATATTTACCAAGGACATTTTCCATTGGCATGTTCTCATTGACCTCTTTCGGCCTCTATGGTAAAATCTAGAAACTGTGCAAGAGTTTAGCTTTTTCTAACTATACCAAATTGTGTGACAACAAGTTCCATTATTATTCAGTCATCTGACTCTGGGCCATACGCAGACGTAGTCCATCCCAGTGTCTCTGTGGCACTCATGCTGTCTGCACAGGGGGAACATGAACGACCTTTATTGTCCACCAGTGCCAGCTTCCCTGCTTCAGTGTTTGTTCCTTTTCTTTAATTTTTAAGATTATAATATCGTCACATCACTCCCCTTCACTTTCCTCCATCTGCACCCTCCTGTATACCCCTCCTTTTTCTCTTTCAAATTCACGAACTGTTTTCATTAACTGTTACATGCATATATGTACATGTATACATACATACATACACACACACACACACACACATATATAAAATCTGGTCAGTCTGTATAATGTTACTTGTATGTGTGTCTCTTGGGGCTGACCTTTTGGTTTTGGGTAACCAACTGGTATGCTCTTCCTTAGGGAAGACTTTCTCCCACTCTGAGCATTCCCTAGTTGCTTGTAATTCTTTGTGTGAGACTGAGGTCTCCTGGGATTTCCACTGTCTACTTTACATGTTGATGTTCTTCTTCAGCTCCTGGTTAGATGGTCATGTTAGTGATATTTTATTGGTATAGCACCTGGCATTCCTAGGAGACACAGTCTCATAGCAAATTTACTGATCCTCTGGCTCTTTGTTGTTGTTGTTTGAGACAGGGTTTCTCTGAGTAGCCCTGGATGTCCTGGAACTTCATCTGTAGACCAGGCTGGCCTCGAACTCAGAGGTCTGCCTGATTCTGCCTCCCAAGTGCTGGCATTAAAGACATGCACCACCACTGCCTAAATCCTCTGGCTTTTAAAATCTTTCTGTCCCCTCTGCTGCAATGTTCCCGAGCCCTAGCCAGTGTTTACACCTCTATGTAACTGCCGTCTACTGTTCTGGGTACAGCCATATGTAGTTATGTATGGTTATTGTCACTGGTGTACAGTCATGGGCAGTGCAGTTATGTAGAGGGACAGTCATTGGTGATGAACAAGTTAGG